AAACTTTGACACAGAAAAGTGTAACACCCATTTGTAAGGGTATTTTAACATGCAAGACACACATTTAACACAACCGTGTCTTTATTCAACTTTGTTTCAAGAAAAAAAATGTTGAAATGACATTATTATGAGACCTTAAAACTGAGCAATTAGTTTTCAGCTAAATAAAGGAACTTGCATAATTGCCATAATTGCCCCAGATTAATTACAATGTAACCATGTTTGTACATTTTGTTTTCGTTTCATTTTCATCATTAGTGACGAAATGAATAATGACAATTTTTAGTCAACAAAATTAACACTAATACACACACCTGAAGTGTCACATCGTCCTTCTCTAGGTGTACTGTAAAGCGATAATTTACTCCGGTACTAACATTTTGTTCAGGTTTTCGTATATTCCTTGAATCTTTTCAGCTCGGGGTTGAAGATAAATATGCACCGCACGTACACTGGAATAACAGCTGAATGTTATCAAAGGCAGCTTGTGTAAATATTTGAGATTTTGTTTTCTGCTTGAGGATGTCATTTTCAGGCTGGCTTGTAATAAGCTTCTTGGCTTGTTTTTTGTACAGCCACTCCAAACCACTCCATCGCTTCGGGCTTTCTTCCTTTTTTTTGCCAAGAGAAGCTCTTGTGATGCACAAACTGTAAGGATAGACGTTTTTTGAAGTGTCATACCTCCGGGAGAATTGCCTTTCTACTTGAAGCAAGCATATTCCTTTTTCAGGAAGTATGAATCCCCTTCACACTTGGTTGTTGTCTGGTGCACGCCCTGCTTCGCTAATATGATTTACTAGCATCTCAAAGCCCTAGCGGGCTTTTCCCCCTCTCCTCCATAACAAAGGTGAGACTCTCCACAAGGGCTGAGCACCAGGTGCTGCGGTATCGCTGGCCGGTGGGCACACTTTCAACATTCATAGCCTTGAATTTCTGGTCTCTGCAATAATTCACAGCGGTGCAGTGCTACGGAGCAGCGAATATGTCAACCTCCCTCCCCGTTAGGCTGCTTTCATGAGCTCTCTATGTGAATATTCTAGGATCACCGCCCCTTGTGCGGAAAAAACATGCCAGTTCAAATTCAGAATTGATGATGAAACTGTGAGTCAATCAAAAGGGTGGGGGACAACTCGAACCAGCGGGCGGTAAATCTCTGCAGATGGCCACTGAAGACTCAAATCCAAAGCAATCATTAGCTTCTCCGTTACTCATTAGAGCAACGTCATTGGTGTTGGCATTGCATCCACTAATCAGTCACTGGCTGTAAATTGAGTTAACTCTCGCCGGCACACAGTGGCACGTGACGTGGTGTGCATTGCTCACACAACCATGTTGTTACAAAAATAAAAGTGTTGTTCTGGGTGCAGTACTGGTTCGGCCTGCAGTGATGGACCACGGTTCATGTTTAAAAAAATGCAGCAGTTCTCAAGATGCCTATAACCACGGCCCCCCTTCCCCTGCCCCCCTCCGAAGAATTGTATTGTGAGGAGTTGATAGTCTTGAGCTTAATAAAGGAATGCAACACATCTCGGAGCAATGTAGCCGACTGCTCAGTGGCCTGTGAGTGAACATGGAGCCACAGGAAGTAGGCGGGAGGATGGTGTTGCTGTTTATCATGGCAAGCTCTTACTCCACGTGAGCTGTGATTCACGAGGCAGAAGATTCCATTCGCTGTGTGTAACTGATTTCCCCCTTCCTATTCCACTGTTCTTCCCCGGCCCGCATCCAGATGGAGTGTCTTCCTGGCACTTTGTGAAAAACTGCGGTAGTACCCAGTGGTCTCTGCATCCGAATGTCTGAACTACTTTTGGCACGTTATGTTTTTCTGCAATAATAAGAAAGCCCGAACATCAGCGCCAGCGCATTCAAGTCTGGTCGTGCGTCTTGGGATATCAGATTTCAACATCTCAAGGGGACTGCTCTTTTGTTTTGGTTTGATGGCGTCATCTCATCAATATTTTGCCTCAAGAAAGTTTCACCACAGGATCACGTCATTCGTGGAAATGTTCATGATCCATGATGTTTTGTCTAAGGTATTCATTAAAATGATCATCCCCTGGATGTATGGACATTGGTGTACTATCCTCTTTGCTCCCTAGGCAGCGGTGGAATTTGTGATCCATGTTTTCTCAGGCGAGTCGACACCCCCTAGATCCCCACCTAAGGAACTTGATGTAACTGTCTGAATCCTATGCGAGCAGTTGGTGGATGGTGTTGCTACAGTTCAGGTTTAGTCTAAAACACTAAATCTCAAATTACAGCCACATCCCAAACCTGTTCTGACACGCTTTCAACAATATGCATTGTTTTTATTCAAGATTTGACCACCGGTGTCGTCGCGCCCTTTGAGTTGCTGAACAATCAAGTGAGAAGCAGCTGGTGTAGAGTTGATCCTATCTGACTACAACGCAAACCATAGCATAGCAACTTGCTCGTTCATGTTGCCTTTTCGGAATCTTTTTAGAGCCTCTCTCCCCACACGTCCATCTTGTAACCAGTGTAATCACGGAATTTTCACGATGGATGTAGAATTACTTTAATGAAGAAGCATGACTGATGTAGCTCAGTGAAAACACTATCAGATTCTCTCAAAGGGAATCGATTCATTGGTTCTGTGATGGTCTTCAATCTGTCTGTGTTGGATTTTCAGTCAACCATATCACTGGAGTCCACATTAGAGAAATTGAAGGTTACTGTCTTGATTGTCAAAGCTAAAATGTTCCTGACTTCTGAAATTCTAGTTTATGGGGGCAATATAGTGCATGTGTCAATGGTGAACTTTGTCATCATTTTTTTCCATCATTATGTCCTTTTGATCCTGCATGGGTGTTCAGAAATCAGCCTGGCAGGGTGTATCGCCTCACCCCATCTTTGCACTCAACTGGAATCAGACATCAGAGCTCATGTATATGACTGTCTGTTCGGCGATTTATTTATTTATTTATTTCCAGTGAAAAAAATCTGTCAGGCCATGCAGACTGTACGGTGTAATCATGACTAAAGACCATCTTTTGATTAGCTTTACGAGAGATTAATAATCCATGCTCTCATGTACAATGCAAAACTGCAGCATATGGCAAGATAAAGATGAATATTAATTTGGGTAGGCACTGGCAGCTCACCCTGAGATTAGAGGTTTGGTGGCGTGTGTCCCAAAGTTACCCTCCCTAAATCCATGCTTGGGCGTTGAGATTAGAGGCCTTCAGTCAGTAGGCTTTAGTCTTTGGGGTGCACACACTTTAAGGGACAAACCTTTGATTGGCGCTGTCCTTTGACAATCTATCCCCGAGGGATGAGAAGGTACGGAGTCTTTGATGAAAGGAGAAAACACGACTCGACACAGGAAAGGCCATTTTCTATCAGTGAACACACGTTTTGGTTTTGAAATATTGAACCCCACCAGTTGTGCTATGAATGATGCCAGAGTGCGGTGATCTCAGAACTGTCCTTTGGCTGGCAGGCTGGTTGATGGGCTCTTTCTTGTTGGGACCAAATTTCTATTGGCTAGGACGACCGGCATTACTTAAGGAGGAAATCTCTTCCTCTCGACCGCCCTCTCCTTCTCAGACTAATCCATTATTTTCATTGGTGGAAGGAGATTGTTTTCGCCAACGTTGGTTTGTCTGTCTGCAAGTAGGATTAGACAAAAACCACATGGCTCATTTCCTTCAAATTTCGGTGCGGGAGCGTAGCAAGAAGAACCCCTTTAAATGGATAGGGTGCACTTTTCAGTGATACACTTGAATTCAGTTTTGCCTGCGCGTACTGATTATGGTCCCCTTAGCACCACTTCATATATCCATACTGTGGTATAATACTTTGCTTTGGGAATCCCTGTATTGTATATTCATGGTAAGGTGTTGTTGGCAAATGGAGATGTTAAGTATGACAGACGTGGGCTACGTGTGGCCCACCTTTACAACCATTCTGATCCATTTACTGCAAGCACTTGGTGCTAGAATGTCAAATACCGAACGCGGTTATGACGGAGAAGTCGATGTTTTATAATTGACTGAAACATGTGAATCGCATCATCAAAAAGCAGTCAGTCATAAATTGGCCTCATCTAAAAAACCCAGTAGCATACATTCTCATATTTGTCTACAAAAGTCCCCAAAATAGGTCAATTCGACTTGATACGAATGCTCACACTTTTTTTTTCTCTCTGACAGAATTCTAGAGCTTAATCTAATGCGGTGTGAAGTGGAGCAAACCTGGCAGTAGCCATTCACGTGCAGGTTTGCGTTCCTCAACGAAAGCATTTATGCCGCTGCAAACAAAGTCAGATTAAGCCTGCAGGTGATTCAATATTACGTGACGCATGTGACCGTGAAGCAAAATAAGAACCCGCATTTGTCAGTGGAACACTGCTGACGAGTTGACAGGGTGGAGAATTAAATTTGTGAGGTGATTTTAATGAGAGGGAATTGCCTAACCTAGATTCTGCTGGTAGCAATACACTTCTAACTGGCTGGACCTGTCTTGCCTTTTTCCCTCTTCCTTAAAGGCCATAAACAAGTTCGGTGTCAAATTTGTTTTATTTACCACTTTTTCCCCGGCTCACAATAGAAGTTGAAATCCCCGCATAAGGTAGAATTCTCATTATACGTGCCCTCTTTAGTGACTTAATCTGTACAACATTCAGATAGCCAGTGACCTTCCCGCTATGATCTCCCTCCGACAGTATTAAGAGTATTAGAATACAGGCCTCTCTTTAGACCCATTGCTCTACTTTTCCCCATGTGCTTTCCCATCAGTTCAGTCACTGGCGTGCACGTGCAGGGGTGAGGCTTGGGGGGATGGGGTGGAATGCATCAAGCGGCCCAGATGGAGCTAAACTGATTATTTTTCCAGGGTGATGCAAGCCCCAGTCCATTGCTAAGCCTCACTGATAGACCACTTACCGTATAGCAAAATAGTCCCTCTGAGTTTGTGTGATTTACTTTTCTTAATTTTTGTTTTCTGTAGGTTCTAACTGACGTTGTCCTCCTGTGTTGTAGGCTTTTGGACAAGCCTACTCCAACCACCGGAAAGTGGCAGCGGATGGGGAGAGCCGAGAGGAGTCTCTCATCCAGGAGTCGGCCTGTAAGGAGGCCTACTACGAGCAGAGGGTCCTTGAACTGCAGAATGAGCTCCGGCAAACTCGCAACATGCTTACCAATATGCAGTCTGAGAATGAACGCCTGAGCACAATCACCCAGGAGATAAGAGAGGTAAGAAATGACCTAAAATTAATTTGCTCAACTAAGAATGGAGACTCGTAATTAGCGTTCTGTATTATGCTGTTTGTCTTCAGCTTTTCCTTTTTTTTTTTTTTTTTTTTTTTTAAAAAATATTTGATCGCTAGCATCCACCGGGCTAAGCATAGCAAACGGGAGAGCTGTTCTATCTCAAATGATGTGCGGTGAAGCTATGTAGCATATTCATGTGTACTAACTTTGTATCCGTCCCACAATGGACAAGGATCAGTTCCTCATGGAAATTTAAGAAAGTGCACAAGTGCGGCATTCGTCATCTTGGATTCTTTGGCCAAGCCTGGAGGAGCTGGTGTTTGATTGCAGCTTGCATAACTTGGTCTATTTTCAACTGCTTGCTCCTTCTTGGGAAATTCATCGAACTTGAAGGAACATTTTGCCTTTGGCCTCTTTGTTATGTTCTCCGCCTCTATTGTACGTCCTGAGTGTAGTTCACATTACAGATATGTCAGCAAAACACAGAGGCCATGGAAAGAAAGGTGGAATGCTCATGACGCCATAATATTTGGAATTCAGTCAAATTTAAAAAATCTAATTAGACAAGTCTCATGGACGCCTCTGTAATGGCAGCTCGGTGAAACATGTCCAGAGCTACAACAACCTAATGCTAGTCCTTGCCAGGGAATTGCTTTTTACACATTTTATCCAACACATTCTCCTCTTATCAGCTCCCCAAACGTTGATAATGCATACCCTTATTGTCTCTGCCCCACTTTGGACAATGGTCTCACCCTGTGATGGCATCCATCACTTGCACTCACAACTGACCTCTTTAGAGGAGACAAGAGAGCAGTGCAGACGCAGAGTGTGCCTTGCGTGTCTTTGATCATGTGATGTGTCATGGAGCTAGTGATGGGGAGAGCAGCGATCAAGCTTGAAGAGCTTTGAAGAGGCCTCGTTTAACTGAAGGATGGCGGAGAACTGAAGGGATCAAAAGAGATGAGCAGAGTGAGGGGAGAGCAGAATTTGATGGTTACCTTCAGAACCTTTTTTGAATTTGTCGATTTTGACAACATTTTAGGATCCTCACTCGGAAGCCATTTTGCTTTCAAACTATGCCCTGATCCAACTTTCACTCTCTTGACACCTAAACGCATCATTATTCTAGTTTATCGATTTTTATGATCAGAGCAGCAGCTCAAGGTCAAATTTATAAATACAGTGTAGGCTGGTGATAAAATAGTAATTAAGATATTTTTTTAACAGACCGTAGTAATATAGCTGCAGGGGATCAGTGCTGTTTTCTATGACTCGTTGCTGGAGACAGATGTCTTCAGTGTTTCTTGACTGAGATTAGTGAAAGACTTAAAAATGGCATGTTGCTCACGACGACTTAAGTTCTGAAAATCTCTGAGTCCCTCCTTTTAATTGGGTCAACTGCTGCTGAGCACTGCATCCCGGATGGTGTATTTTGGTTGTCACGGAAACCAAATGCGCCTCACGAGATTTTGATTCAATAGAGCATTGATGTTTCAAACGTTTAAAAATTCGGAAAATCTTATTCATGGTGAAAAGTTCAGAAAAGTCAAACAATTACAGTTAATCTTGTGAGGAGATTTAAAAGTGGACACTGAGATTTCTTGCCTCAGATCTCAGGGAAGGGAAATAGACACCTGGGGTCCTTGAGCTGGGAAAGCTCGGTCACCCTGACCAGGCAAGTTTTTTTTGCTCCATTTACTTTGTATACAGCGGTAGTTGTTTTCAAGTGCTCTGTAAATCCGGTTAAATTGTGCTGAGTTAAGAATTTAAGTATGACACCAAATGCAAGTCATTTAAGCACAGTATGTCTAAGGTGCATCCTGAGCCGAATAGATGTCGGGAATTTCTTGTATGTTTACACTTGCAAATGAATTCCAGTTACAGCGCCAAAGCAGGGGCACCGAGCGTTTTGCCAGTGGGGCCTGCACTGCTGTGTCATCCGCACCGATCCAGCACGATGGGCCTCAGCCAATTCCAATTGGTGTCATTCGACTGTCTGAATAGCCCCATCCATTTCACATAATGACGCCTCTAATGGTGCTTCAGCGGGTGCTTGGCAGATTTTGTGTGGCAGGCAAGTGGAGGCAGCATGGGCACCAACGGTGGCATTGTGACCAGACTCCAAAGAGGCTTTTGTCTCCTCGATTTTAAATTAGCCCAGAAACCAACGCGGCGTAAGAAAGAAAAGAAGGAAGGGAGCGGGGTTACAGGAGGAGATGAAAATGGCAAGATAAAGAAGGAAAGAAGCCTCAAATCTTTTAGCAAAAGAGGCAGGCTTATAGGAGTAAATTTGCTTTCATGGGGGACAGTGGTCCTTTCCCGAGACATAAATATGTCTGAATAATTCAAATCATTGTAGAATAAAAGCAACAATTGTGTTCCCTCAAAGGGGAGCGCTTTCATGGCATCAGCAGAGCTTGACTAGATCTGCGCATTGCGCACATCACAGCTAAATTTAAAAAGGCTGTCTCTGATGCCAATACGTTCAAATGTGTCCCCCAAGAACACACATTTAACACAAGACGCATTTCTTAGTTTCGGCGTACTCAACAGGATTAAGCCTTCACAAGAAGCAGAAATATCGTCAGGGCGCGTACGCTAATAGGCGCAACATCATTAAACCCATTTGCATGTCTTAAGAGGAATGTGCCTGCAGTGATGACTTTCATTGTGGGCACAAAATGGGGATTTAAGTTGCCAACGTTTTCCTGCAAGTACCCCACTGCAGATACTTGCTTAGATGTCCATGTCACCCCCATTAGATGTTTGGATTCAGATACCGGTACTCTCAAAATCATTCTTCCATGCTAAGAATATATCCTGCCTTATATTGCACTTAAAAGTCGAAACGGCCTTATTTGACATTAGAAGAGAACGTTTTTTGTTGGTGTTGTTGTTTTTTTTTTGGGCGGGGGGCAAAAGTGTTTTCTAAAACCAATAAAAACAAATGGGTCATTTTCTTTTTTTATTAATTTATTTGCTAATATGATAAATGATCCGATCAGTGACTCAAACGCGTGATCCGAATATTGAGTTTTTTGATCCATTGCACCACTAGAGTATAACATTAGGCTCTTTCCATCTGGATTTGTTGAAAGAGATGATGGATGGATGGACAGATTATTTGGAATTGTTTGCGCAACAGAGCAGATGGATGTGGATGGATTTTCACACTGCATGCAAATTCGAGGTTGATTTGCAAGGCACACAGGACTCCTCCAGGGCTTTAGGCTTATGAAGTCATCAGTTCTACGTGTGTAGTTACTATTGCACCATTTTGGACCACTGTAGGGACTTGACTACTACTCTAAACCCTGCAGATGTTATGTGGGTTAGCTGTCACAGCCGCCAGCGCAATTTAATGCAGCTCTGCTAAATCTGTCTCCTTTATAACCAATGTGTCTATTTATAGCCTTTAAAGTCACTAGACTCGACCAGGCAGAGTTGCTTTGCCATTAACCTCAGTCCTTTGTCTGCTTACAGAAAGTGTCAGTCTTGATTTAAGCCCAAGGCTCAAATGACAAGAGGATCTTTCTGTGCTGGATCAATCGATTTGAATAAATCAACAGCACATAGACTCGAGTCTGACACATTGACTTCACTAATGGAGCCATGTTTCTCCAGCTTTTGTCCCGATGGCCTAAAAACTTAAGTGCACCAAGGCACATTTTCACCCTGGCTATTCAGCAGTTTCACAATGGGAAATGTTACAATCAAGCACCCGCACGCAACTTTGCATCCAAACTTCAAAACTGTTATTTTGAAGGTATGTCTTCCTGACTGCAGTCAAGAAAGTCTGAGTCAAATAATAATACTTGGCGGCGGAGGGACACATGCAGACTGATCATCTTTCATCCTCACAGATGGTAGGAAAGGTTGACTGAGCACAATTATGCCCCCGCTCGGCTGTCAGGTGGTGGCACTTAAGGTTGGTGATCATTTTGCTCATTTTACTGAAGGTGACCTGTGATAGGAATAAATAAGACGCTGTGCTTTTGTGGGCTTCATTTTTAGTTTGCCGGATGAAGGACATATACTGTAGCTCTCAATACAGTTTGTAATGCTGCATCAACGCAGATACTCTAAGTCAGGGGATTCAAACTCATTTTTGTCACCGGCCACATCGTAATTTGGGTTTCCTACGCAGGGCCTTTATGACTGAAGTTCACCTATCCATTCATTTTTCAACATCGCTTATCCTGAAGAGGGTCGCGGGGAGTTGCTGGAGCCTATCCCAGTGAACTTTGGGTGGAAGGTGGGCTACACCCTGAACTGGTTTCCAGTCAGTCGCACACCGGCACTGAGTGGATACCGATCCCACGCTACCCGTCTGGCGAGTGTACCATGGCACTACTATACCAGCAGCGAGGGACTTGGAAGTTCAGTGTAAATTCAAACAAATGTATGGCTGTCTCAGATTACATACACACAACAAATCTATGAATGACTAGTTTTGAAATCAGAGACCAGTAAACTGTTTGTCCTAATGCTACATTTATTTTGAAAGAAGCGATTGGAAACAAAGAAAATGCTTGTAAAATCTCATTGTTTTTAAAAGTAAAGAGAATTTGCACTTTTGGTATTTAGCAAGAAACATGAAGTTGATGCACATAATTTTCTTTGGCGGGCCACATCGAATGATGTGGCGGGCCTCAAGTTTGACCCCTCTGCTCTCAGTGTTGCCCGAGTCTATTGGACAGCACTCATTTCAGAGCCATCCGATTTAAATATCGACTGTAGAAAGGCAAGTTGGATTCTCTGGTGTTAAGGAAATAGCCTTTAACCAAGCACAAAAATCCTAATCTACATTTGCCGTAATCCTGATACTTTGCCACTGTGACTGCGCTGTTGCCCCATTGAAGTTTTGCTTATCGCGGCTTAAACACATTGGGAAATAACTCCAAGCTTTGGGGTGATTTAAGCAGGCTGAGCATCATCATGCTGTTAAGCTTTTCTTGGTTCACTTGACAGCTCTGGAGGTCCGACAGACACTTTGGGCTTGGACTTTTAAAAGCCTCGCCTAGTAATGTGCTTTTGTGACATTTTGCAGCACTCCGTGGTCTAGAAATGGGAAGGACCCCCCCTCCCCCGACCCCCCATCTGCTTTATCATGCATTCATAGTCACTATGCTCTGAATTCTTCCTTCAAACATGGCTGCCTTAGAGCATGTATTGCAAAAAGTGTCACTTTGGATGGAAGTGGCACATTTGTCAGTTCAAGTGCGGTGCATGGGCAGCTGTCCAGACGTCACCTGCTAAGTTTGGGGGAAGGAACAACCTCTTTTTATTGATTGATTGATTTATTTATTTATTTATTTATTTATTTATTGGGGTGGCCCCTCAGATGGCCATTGATCACACCTTGATAGCTAATCAGCCACACACATTTTCTCACCACACATCAGGAGATGTCGCTTGGCTGTTTAGTTCACAAGGCCTCCCCATTCTCTAATGACCTTCTGTCAGGGGGCCGGGCCATCTGACCTTAGTCTCCAATGTGGAAATAGAATGTGTGGCGCAGGATGTGGAGGTGAAAGGTCAAAGCTCAGGCATCCCACATAATCGGATGGAGGGGGGCTTTTAATCAGGTTGGCTTGTGGCCTGCATTTGTACTAAATCAACAGCAGGCACCCACCACTTGAGACAAATGACGTTTGACAAAGAAGATGCCTAAGCAACCAGCTGGCACGAATCTTCAGCATTTCTGATTCTATGAAGTTGTTCGAAGAGGGCAGAAGTCACGTTCTACTGAGTGCCGCATTTGGTTTAAGGAAGGATATTTGGCTGAATGTTTGATTTCGGTGAAAATAAACTCCTCATGAATTGTTCTTTCTTGGTGAATGGTAAACCAACATTAAGTGCAATATTTCATTTTGCACATTTTTATTCCACAAAAATCAACAGTTTAGATCAAGAGCTATAATTCAACAGAAAATGTGGATTGGTTTCAGCATTCACACAATTAATAATTATCATAGCCATCCCCAATTTAGACTGAACTGTATAATTGTGAAAATCAGCAGCACTGCCACACTCCAAAAACTCCCACTCATTAGAGGTGCGCCAGTCCTCCCAAATATGAATTAGACTTGTAACATCCGCCGCAGCTCAACTCTGCACATGGTAATTAATCATTTGGTGCGGCAAACATAAAGGGCGTTGCCTCTACTAGCAGAAACAAAACACTTCCAATGAGACAGAGGTTTTGGTGCCCAGATTACATTTCTCTTGAGGCACGTTAGCCATGTTGTTGATGGTGTTGTTGGGGAAAGAAATGTCACTTTTATTGGAAATTAACTGCATCGTATGGTCATTGAAAAAAACATTCTTCCTATCAGGTTATTAGAGAGTAACTTGACTGATTCAGTCAGTCAGCCTGTCAGGTCTGATTTCATCGAACAATCTTGCATGCACTGGCTAATGGGGTTGGTGCTGTCAAGCGTGAGTGGTAGTGGCCACCTGGCAAAGGGATTGCTCGGCTAAGTATGCCTCTGCAGCTATTAGGTTATCTCTGCTGAGGGAATGACACACCCACATGCAAAGTCTCACGTGCTCCCCACCCGGCTCAGGCGATGACGCCATCCTCGCCGTGTGAGTGCATGTGCTTTACTTCCTCTTCCTCACGTCACCTGATCACTTTTGCCGCTTCAAATGTAGTGGGTGGTTTGTTACCAAGAGCAATACATGAGTTTGTGAAGAAACAGGTGGCCCAGTAGAACCGATGGCATCCTTACAGATTCAGGTTTGCGCGTGCAAGTGGAGGAAGGGACCTTCTCTTGACTCTCTTACCTTTTTTTATAATGGATGAAGGCTTTTCTGCACAGCACGACAGTGTGCGGGGCACATTTGCCAGCATGTAATCTCTGAAATGAGCATCCAGTCTGTTAGATCTCGTTAATTGTGCAACTGAAGACTCGTCATCGAGGAGGCTTAAGTGTATTTTTGTGGCATCACAGCCGGAAGACACCTGGCATCTCATGTCTTCATCAAGCACATGTTGGTTACGGCCAGATGGAGATTTAGATTTAGTGCATGAGACAATCTGACACAAAGAAACATTATCCTGTCAGTTGCCATTTACACCTCTACTGTGTGTTTAAAAAAAAAAAAAAAAAGTTTGAAAACGTCACTTTCAGCTCTTCCTCTTTGCTTATATCTCGGCTGTGCCACCATTTTGATGCCACAGAACAGCCAGACGGTGGAGCTCCAGAGGAATCAATTGCGTGATGACATCAAGGAGTACAAGTTCCGGGAGGCTCGTCTGCTGCAGGACTACACCGAGCTGGAGGAGGAAAACATCTCGTTGCAGAAGCAGGTCTCAGGGCTCAAGCAGAGCCAGGTGAGGTGTCGTTTGTTCATATCTGGAAAATTTGAGCCACAGTTTTGCTCAGGCTACCAGAGAAGTGCTGAAAACTGATTTAATGACGATAAGAAGCCATTTTTTTCAGCAGGACTTTGCTCAATTTCTCATCTTCTTCCATATTAAACCAACATGCTATGGTGAATAAGTACAGTGGCATGGTAGCATTAGTAGGGAGGACACCAGTAGTGAGAGATACTGTCAAGATGAATGAGGAGTCCTATTGAGCCTTTTTTGTCCCATGGCACTGTGGACACAGCTTATGGGAACCAGCAGGCCAATTGGAATGCAGCTTTAGTGGTTGCTGAGGCAAAAACAGTGCCATGGGAGGAATTTCGTCAAGCTATTGAGAAGGACTTCTGGACTGAAATTCAAGTCCGCCATCCGGCGTCTCAGGAGGAGGGAAAGCAGTGCACCATCAACCATGTTTAGAGTGGAGACGGGGTGCTGATGACCTTGGCCAGGAGGACTCTCGATTTACCAGTCGAGCTACTTCCCCACCCTCACGTATTGCCTCCCAAGCAGGAATAAGATGGATAGATTGTATAGCATGAAAGAAACAAAGTAATAACAGCACAATTGTTTGAAGAAATTTGGTTTTAATTGACCTGGCATCTATGATCAATGTAAGTGTTTGTTTTTCTCCAATTCTAGAACTATTTACCACTGCTGTATAGTTGACACACCAAATTAACTGTTTTCATATCCTTCCAATCTTGGGGGGGAAAAAACCCCCACCAAAACCATGCCAGCACCAAAATAGAAATAGTACTCAATATAGTTTCTGTGAGAATGATTTCATGAACATTAATTTTCTATAGAATTGCATAATACCTCAAACTTTTGCTATCTGTTATTTTTTTCATGCACAGGTTGAGTTTGAAGGCTTGAAGCATGAAATCCGTCGTTTGGAGGAGGATATGCAGTTTCTGAACAGCCAGTTGGAGGATGCCATCCGCCTAAAAGAGATTGCTGAGCGTCAGCTGGGTGAAGCCCTCGAGACCATCAAGACTGAGCGTGAGCTGAAAACCTCTCTGAGGAAGGAGCTGTCCCACTACATGAACATTGGAGACACACTTTACAACAGGTACGTGTTGAGCAGGACCACAATGTCTGCCTCCTCTCTAAATGCCATTCGGTATTCTCACACCACCCTCAATTTCCCCCCTGCAGTCCTCTTAGCATCTCTCTGGATGGCCTCAAGTTCTCCGACGATGCCACCACTGAACCCAACAACGACGATGCTCTTCACGGTTACGAGAATGGCTTCGGCAAGCTGCTCACCGACGACAACCGCATGCCCAAGAAGGAAGAGTTGTTCAACCCAGCACCCAGTCTTGTGGACGACCTACTGAGCGAGTTGAACATTTCTGAGATCCAGAAGCTAAAGCAGCAACTGATTCAGGTTTGTGTTTTGCCAAGAGCAGATATTCGAGTGATAAACTTTTTTTCAACTTATGCTCACTCGCGACTTTTATGTTAAAATTACAGCATGGACTGGCACCCCAAATTCCCATTCTCTAAACGTGTTGACTGTCTTTTAGTGGCATAGATGGCAATTTTCCGCATATCCACGGAAATCCGCCGTTTTATTTCTTAAATTGATCATTTTTGTGAATCGTCTAAATCCGTTGAGAAAATTTTAGGGGCGGTCAGGTACCTTATCGTCGAGTTTTCACGAGCTCTCCCGAACAGTCTCTCCGTTTTCCGTTTGTAAACAGCCCTGCGATTGGACGTGTATGAAAGCTTCAACTAATCAGATCACTGAAGGCATTATTTGTTGCGGAAGTCTTAGCTCGATTATAAACGGCCCAGCGATTGGTTAACTACAAGCGATTGGACCAATCAAATTGCATGTAACATATTGTTTTACCTGATTCATGGCGGCCTGTTCGTCTCGCAAATTCATTGTTCTGGGATCGTTTTGAGCGGAATTATGAAATTTTTGACGAAACATCAGGAGTCTTTAATCCTAGAAATTGACTCAAATGTCAAGAATAAATTCCGATTGGACTGGCTTGACAGAAAAATCACTGTAAAGGTTAAAATTGGTTCCAAGTTCGACGAAGTTACAGAAGCTCTTGGACAATAAGCTTTGACGTAGCAGGCAAAGCTTATTGTGTGTATTGTAGTGACTTAATTAACTATGGCAACCGTGGATGCGTGGCACTGACAGATCATGCAACAAAAGTGAAAAAACATGCCGACAAAATCGCCATTCGACGGAGCAATTATTCTTTGGGATCGGCATTTTTCAAACAAACTTCGTCAGCGGATACAACTAAAGACGTTACGCGCTGGGGTACTTACTTTGGCTGAACCAAGCAACGAAATCTGCTCCACTGACGCCCCTCGCCGATAGACAGGTACACTCCGAGGTATATATTTTTTTATTCAAATATACGAGGATGATCTTTTCAATTTTATTTGGTATGCATTTGTAGCAACAGCATGATAACATTTATTTGTTTTTATTTGCGTTTTATATTCATATTGATAATTCACGTTTTGTCTTGGATAATAAAGCACGGTTATGCATAATAAATTGTATGCATAATATTCACTATCACTGTATGAGGTAAGAATCAACAGCTTTTTATCACATTTACACAACACTTTATGAATACAAGTCATGAACAAATCTTAAATATGGCAGGGGATGTGTTTACTTTTTTTGTTTTGATTTTGAGCAGCAAATTTTGAGTTACATATTTTTGCTCACCAGGAATGCATAGGCAAAATTGCACAAATTTTCACTTGAAAGAATAGTGGCGATCTTGGGATTTTTTTCTGTTCAATTTTCAAACTGTGTAAATTTAATACACTTCATCTTCAGCATGTTTAGTGCCACTTTTGTAAGTAACCACGCCCCGTCCAGGCCACGCCCCCGTCCAGGCCACGCCCCTTCCGCTTTTTTCATCACTCGCCATTGCCATCTATGTAGTGGTTGACAAATACTTTTGCTGAAATATCATTAGTGGTCACCTTCTTCAGCATGCTAAAGGTGGTGGTGGTAATGCACCAAAAGTATTTGCCAACCGCCAAAAGAAAGTTGAGGAAGTAGTAGTCATAGCAACCAATGTGCGACGTATCTCAAGTTTAGCATATGCAGCTTCCGCCACAACAAGGATTTACTTTTTACAGTATTGAAAGTTGCAACACCTGACCAGGATTGTACATTTGGCCACATTTGACACGCTCCGAAATTCACTCTCAAACCCTAACACCACTCTGCAAGTGATTGTGTTCGGAGTGGCAGAGCGCGCTCCCCTCCCATTAATTTCTGAATGCAGCCTACGTTATAAACCCATCAGCAGCTCATGCTTGAACTGTTTTCATCAGTACCGCCTGAAACACTGGGCTCTGACACTCCTTTTTGGGGGCATTCTGAATAACGGAACGGCACATTTGAACAACACTCTGTGTTTCCAAACAGTTGTGAGTGAACCAGTCGTACCTGGAAAACATTTCCGATCCACCCCCTTTTTAGGTAATTGGAATTTTGGGTACGCATTCCAGCTCTACTGTTCTTAATAAATTTGCCCAAAAAATATATCCTCCCGAGCAACTTTGTTTTTTTTTTTCTTGTTCATGATGCGCTTTTTGATTGGTATGACTTATGTTGTGGGTTAATTTTCTCTATCGTCGGAAAATACGGTACAAAGTATTGCATGCATATTCGTTTTATTTTGTGTCACATTCATAGTAACAGAACCTAGGAGACAGGGGCTTACTGTGGGTTGTCAGCGAAGGGAGGTGATTGGATGTTGGGGTACACAGCACACGCGCGCGCACACACACACACACACACACACACACACACACACACACACACACCAGACTGCTGAGGCGTGAGACAGTGGGTGGTGTGATACCAGTTGCCCTGCCATCTGCTTCATTGCCACTCCATGAATTCAACCCTATCCCTGACTGGCTACCATGGTTACGAGAAAGAATTTGGATTGTTGACAAAGAATGTTTCTTTTACGCTGCCATTTGTCAAACATAAACACAGTCAGATGTTCTTGCGCCTGTTCTTGCTAAATTTGTCTCCATTGCTGTCAGCTTCAGATTCCAAACAGAAGTTGAGGAGACTATTAAAATCTTCCTTAAGTATTCTCATTTTGATAAATGACTGGACGGAATTGATTGAATACAGATCTTTTTCCCCGAGGTGGCTTTATGTTTTAAGTCACTAATGGTGTAGTTATAGTGGTTCATTTGTCTGACTTCTGCGCGGGGAATGTGGGTTCCGTTCCCACTCAGTGACGAGTATGAATTAATTGTCTGTCTATATGTGTCCTGTGATTGACTGGCATCCAGTCGAGTACGTAGTTTGCCTTTTACCTGAAGTCAGCTGGGTACTTAAATGGTCACACATCTTTCATTGTACTCTTGGTTTGGTCGTCTCTCCTCAGATGGAGCGTGAGAAGGTCAACCTGCTGTCCACTCTGCAGGATTCCCAGAAACAACTTGAGCAGGCCAATGGCGCTCTCTCAGAGCACCAGGAGAAGGTGAACCGTCTGACAGAAAACCTTAACGCCATCCGCAAGCTTCAGGCCAGCAAGGAGCGCCAGTCTGCCCTGGACAATGAGAAAGAACGCGACAGCAATGAAGATGGAGACTACTACGAGGTGGACATCAATGGACCAGAGATCCTGGAGTGCAAGTACAAGGTTAGGAGGTGTCTCGGAGTTGAACGGTGTAGAGAGAACGACATCAGGGCAGATTTAGTGACCAAAATCTTTGCCTTTTTTAGGTTGCCGTTTCAGAAGCTGGGGAGCTGAAAGAGGAGCTGAAGACCCTAAAGGCAGAATACCAGGCCTGTCAGTCCCGTTATGATGAAGAGCGAACCCGTCTGGAGAACGATGTCACTACACTCGGAGAGAAGCTGTCCACTCTGGAGAAGACAAGAGGTTTCGAGAAGGACGAGAAGGCCAAGCTGGAGAAAGAGTTGCGAAAGGTACGTTTGATCTGACACCTTACTTGAAAGTCACCGTTAAATCCGTTCATGCTCCTCATTTCCGTCCCTTTGCTCCCAGGTGAGTGACATGGCAGGTGAATCTCAGGGCAGCCTGAGTGTGGCTCAGGACGAGCTGGTCACGTTCAGCGAAGAACTGGCGACCCTCTACAACCACGTGTGCATGTGCAACAATGAGACCCCCAACCGCGTGATGCTCGACTTCTACAAGGAGGGCAAGGCAGGTCGTAGCAGCCCCGAAGGCCGCGGCCGCCGCTCTCCCATCCTGCTCACCAAGGGCCTCTTCCCAGAGCCTGTTAAGATGGAGCTCAATGATATCGCTCCATCCGCGGGCCTGCCTTCTCCTGTGTCCGACCACCGCCGTGAGCCCATGAACATCTACAATCTGGTGGCCATCATAAGGGACCAGATCAAGCACCTGCAGCTGGCCGTGGACCGCACCACAGAGCTGTCGCGCCAGAGGGTGGCCTCCCTGGAGCTCGGCGCCGTGGCCGACAAGGACAAAGAGGCCTGCATGGAGGAGATCCTCAAACTGAAATCCCTCCTCAGCACAAAGAGGGAACAGATTGCTACTCTGAGGACTGTTCTGAAGGCTAACAAGCAGGTCAGTTTGTCTTTTACCCACTGGGGATGTCTCTTGTAGATTTGACATCCCAAACATTTGTCATCTTGCCTTGAAGGACAGATAAAGAAGATGGGGCATATGGAAGCTATTTCAAGGCTTTTCAGCTGTTGAGCAAATGTGATGTGGTCGACAGCAAACATGGGTGGGGACAGCAGTCCTTTGGTGTCAGCTGCATAAAGAAACCGAATTGTATCTGCAGTTGTTGTGCTTTTAAAATTTGTGTGGTTGAGAGAGAACAGAGACATGAAAGCCCCTCATTTTCAAACAACTGACCAATAAGAGCTTCAGACCAAGCTGTCTGTATGATTTACTGCACATGTGGCAGAATTAAACCAATCTATATAATAAGTTCATAGTCTTCCTTGGTTCCCCACCTCTCTAATCTTGTTCTGCATTGTTGCTGCCTACAGACTGCTGAAGTTGCTCTGGCCAACCTGAAGAGCAAGTACGAAAACGAGAAGGCGATGGTGACTGAGACCATGATGAAATTGAGGAATGAGCTCAAAACCCTGAAGGAGGACGCGGCCACCTTTTCCTCCCTCCGAGCGATGTTTGCCACACGGTGAGAGACTTGCCAGAACCACTTCCCCACTGTTGTGTGGGATGATGTTTTCGTTCTGTGTGTGTCAAAGGAGGGGCTCCGTGGTCCAACGCTATCACTAATCTTTGCGTATCCCGAAGCGATGCCGGTCAAAGGTTGTGTGTGGAATCCCACTTTAATCTGGTGTGGTTTACGCATTGACCCCTTGACTCAGATTATTTTTACTATTTTTTTTTACATCACAAATGCATGCATATGTCCTCTGATGTGTTTACATTTGAGTTTGCTGACACTCTGTAAGAGAGGCTTGTTTCCCTCATGAGCCTTGCTCAGTTGTCCTGTAAACAAATGGCAGCATTGGGACAGCTTTCTGTTCCAAATTCATGACTACTTTTAAATTCACAGCCTGGCAAGGGGAGACCGGGGGGGTGCTACCACGGAGTGTTAGCTTCCTTTTAGTGTGCAGGGATTCAACTTGGACAATTCCCCAGTCCGCAAATGTCAAATGCTGGTGTCACTTTGGCACTCTGCAGAATCACATGGCCGCGGGTTGTCTATGGAATGCTGAAAGGAGATGGTGAATCACGCTCTTGTTGCTCTTCATCATGTGTTTACGCTTCCAAAACGCCTCCATTGATGACAAAATCTGCCAGGCTCTGGTTCTGTCAGCGTTCTGCTTCCTCTGCATGAATTACACTCTGTTTATGGGATCCTTATATTGGTATGTAAATTCAGTCCTATACAGCAGAAGGTTCCGTTGGGGGACTGTGTGAGGGACTGCTGTTTTCCCACACTCCCTTCCCTTGATGTACCCACCCGCATCTCCTTCCTCACTACTAAGCACCCGCTTCTCACGTCTCCTGAAGAAGAAAGGGAGGAAAGAGTCCTTCACATGCTGTTTTTTTTCTGTGTTCACCACCATGGTAATGCCTGTGATGGTGGATTCCTGGGGAAAAAAACTGTTACAGTTTGATTGCTTGACAAAGAGAAACAAAAAGGAGAAACGTGTGTGTTTTGTTTTTTTTGTTTTTGGTGTGTGTGACTTCATACTGCAGTCCGATTCAAGGGTAGGGTCTGTATGTTCCTTTATCTGGGATGCTGTGATTTTTGTTTTTTGTTTTTTTTTTTGTCCATCCAGCTGCAGCTTCTGAAGTCATGTTAGCACTTGCCTCTTCACATTCCAAAGACATGTGCCCATTGCAGGCTCCATCTGATTAACAGCCCAGCCATGAGCCCGAGTTACTTTTACTCCTCACCCTCACCGGACCTGCTGCCCCTTTGTTAGCTGTTGTCCCCCTTCATCATTCAATTAAATCTCCTCTCCTACCCTTCTCTTTGATGGATAGCCAACCGGCCATGACCAATCGAGTTCCAGACAACACAACAGCTGTGTGTGTGTGTGTGTGTGTGTGTGTGTGTGTGTGTGTGTGTGTGTGTGTGTGTGTGTGTGTGCGCGCGCGCGCGTGCGTGTATATTTGCATGTGCTTCTCAGCGATTCTTCTCAGCGATTCTGAATTACGGCTGCGTGAATGATGCAATAGTTGAGGGATCATGTGACAAATAGATTGTCACCACCAGATGCAGAAAACTTGCAAATTGTGAATGTAATCACTATTTGGCAGCCTTCCGTCTGCCATTGTGCCTCTCACCCCGTCACCAGCACAGAAACGCTCCTATTGTATCCAAGCAGTCCCAAGAACAAACTCCTCAGTTTGTTTTCTTGGGAAAACCCCTCTTAGCCCCCGCCCAGCTTTAAGGCGACTCGCACGCCCTCCCACCATCATGGTGGGTTTAATGAAGCAGGACTGATCCCTTTTGTCTGTGTGTCTATGTCCTACTGGGAATCAAACTGCACACACAAGGTCAGGGTGAAGGTTATGTTTGTCCGGCTTCACACTCTCCAAGCACGTGTAACACGCATGCAGCAAAACATCTGTACATGGTGTCACTGTTTTGAGATTGTGCCCTCGGGATATTTTAAACAATAGTGTCCTTTGTACACATGACCACATTTTCTTCTGTGTCTTATAACTAGAAAGGAAAATAACTTGACTTCACGAGAACTACATTTGGAATACATTTTAGAAATTTCTTTGGCCTGCAAATAAGTAAAAAAAAAAAACTGCTTCAATAAACCGGGCAAGAGAATTACACTTAAGCTGGATAACAGCATCAGAATCAAAATGCATTTAGGGAAATAAAGACACAGCATGCAGTGAATATGTGGCAGAAATAGTAGAACGGTGGAGGTAGACATTGGAGGATAAAAGACTCTTCCCTCAATAGAGGTGAGCTGTCCTCAAAGGAATGTCACTTTGATTTCTTTGTCAGCAGATTTCTTTGTCAGTGAGTGAGTCACTGTCACTTTTTCAGTTCAGTGACACGCCTCAACTTGCAGCAGGTGATGGATGACATGACCGGAGTGCAGCATGCATGCACTCATGTGGTGTAGTTGATGTGTGCTATTTTGCACAGAGATGGTAAAACTGTGTCAGTAATAGGATCTCACTTCTGTTGCAAAAGTTACGGGGCGGTGTGAGGGGCTACTCCACAGGGTGAGGTTGACTATTTTGAAGTTTGTTCATCTTCTTCGCAATTTTATTCTTTAGTCAGGCAGGGGTTGGACACGACATTGTTCCCCATGGAATCTCAATTCTTCTTCTTACAGAGCCATTTTGGTCAATTCCATCCTCCCAACAGTTTTGAGAATGCCCCCAAGGGCCCAGTTGGATGTTTATGATGCATGGCAATGAATTAGCGAGCCCGCTCTAACATTGACCATATTCAACACGGTTGAGGGTCGATTTAGAAGCGAAATTGTGACCTTTGAATGAATGGACACAAATTCCATCCAACACATGCGAAGATTTTGTTGAAGTCATGACACTGGAAGCTGTTTTGGCAAGACATTTTAATTCTTTCTTCTTCCTGAAATGTGCAATGGATTCTTTCAAGTGGCTCTTGATGTCCAAGTAGAGAGAGTTAAAAAAAAGGAGGGAATTTATGGTAATTAATATAATGGAGGATGGCACAATGTTCGACTGGTGAGCGCGTCGGCCTCACAGTGCAGAGGTGCAGGGTTCGATTCTGGCTCCGGCCTACCTTTGTGGAGTTTGCATGTTCTCCCCGTGCCCGCGTGGGTTTTCCCCAGGTACTCTGGTTCCCTCCCACATTCCAATAACATACTTGGCAGGTTGGTTGGGGACTCGAAATTGTCCCTTTGTGTGAGTGTGAGCGCGGATGGTTGTTTGTCTATGTGTCCCCTACAATTGGCTGGCAACCAGTTAAGGGTGTACCCCGCCGACTGCCCAAAGACAGCTGGAATAGAGGCTCCAGCACGGCCGTGACCCCTTTGAGGAGAAGCGGATGAGAAGATGTTAGGATGGATGGATGCATTGATGGATGGTAATTATTATAATGGAACCAGTTTAGTGACGAACTCTCTTTAGAATTATGAGAACCAAACTGGCTGACAACAAGTCTGCATCGACTAGAGGTTCAATAGCGTCCCCTGGTGGTGGCATAAAACACATTTATCTGGCAAGAGTGTGTGTGTGTGTGTGTGTGTGTGTGTGTGTGTGTGTGTGTGTGTGGCTCTGTACACTGTTACAATTTTACTGTTGTACATTTTTAACAAGTACAGTAAAGTGAAGCACATTTTCATGCCGGCTAAAGCCTAATGGTACAGTCTTTTCCGCTGTTCTGGCGCATTAGCAGCTATAGAGGTACAATGTTCAAGTGAATGTCACGTGATGTGGTCAAAGTTAAATGTTTCTGTTTATTTTCACCCCCAGTTGTGACGAATATGTCACTCAGTTGGAAGCCATGCAGAGACAGCTGGCTGCAGCAGAGGATGAAAAGAAGACCCTCAACTCCCTGCTGAGGATGGCCATCCAGCAGAAGTTGGCCCTGACGCAGCGCCTGGAAGACCTGGAGTTCGACCACGAGCAGACGCGAGCTGGAATAGGGGCTCCAGCACGGCCGTGACCCCTTTGAGGAGAAGCGGATGAGAAGATGTTAGGATGGATGGATGCATTGATGGATGGTAATTATTATAATGGAACCAGTTTAGTGACGAACTCTCTTTAGAATTATGAGAACCAAACTGGCTGACAACAAGTCTGCATCGACTAGAGGTTCAATAGCGTCCCCTGGTGGTGGCATAAAACACATTTATCTGGCAAGAGTGTGTGTGTGTGTGTGTGTGTGTGTGTGTGTGTGTGTGTGTGTGTGTGTGTGTGTGTGTGTGTGGCTCTGTACACTGTTACAATTTTACTGTTGTACATTTTTAACAAGTACAGTAAAGTGAAGCACATTTTCATGCCGGCTAAAGCCTAATGGTACAGTCTTTTCCGCTGTTCTGGCGCATTAGCAGCTATAGAGGTACAATGTTCAAGTGAATGTCACGTGATGTGGTCAAAGTTAAATGTTTCTGTTTATTTTCACCCCCAGTTGTGACGAATATGTCACTCAGTTGGAAGCCATGCAGAGACAGCTGGCTGCAGCAGAGGATGAAAAGAAGACCCTCAACTCCCTGCTGAGGATGGCCATCCAGCAGAAGTTGGCCCTGACGCAGCGCCTGGAAGACCTGGAGTTCGACCACGAGCAGACGCGGCGCACGGGCACCGGCATGCGGTCAAAAACACGCGTCAAGGTTTCGCAAGGCGCTGTCAGCAACCCCAACGTAAGCCAGGGCCTCACCTGCGCCGGCTCCGGCCAACCCGAGTACGGCAACGCCATGCCCAGCGGCCTCCTGGGAGGCCCCGCGGTCTTCTGCAGCGAGAAGTACAAGATCTACTGCGATTGAAGCGGTTGCCGAGTCAGCAAGAAACCGCTTTGTACAGACGGGAGGGGGTCTGAGAGCCAGACCTTCCCTGCCATAGTGTTAAAGAGCCCCACTCGCTCGCTTTGCTCCCTGGTTGGCCCGTGCTCCTCTTGGGACTACCGTGTGATTAACCATCTGCTTGTGTGTGCTAGTGTCAAGGCTTGCCGATGCACAGGTGTGTGTGTATAGTGTGCACTAGACAATTGGACCGTAGTAGACAAAACAAGGCATTGTAAGATCCCTGATTATGGTCAGGCGACGTTGTGGATATACGGGAGTGTCTATTCTTTCCATAGTCTCGGTGCTGTGCATAGGAAGCACAAGGTGGCGTTTGTGCTTTGTGCTACAGTCTTCTGCCTCCTGATTGTGTTTGTTGCCCGGCAACAGGAAACACATCACGGAGATGTGTTGAGCTGGAGGATGTCCAAAGATGGCATCTGGCGGCACGGGTGCTCCTCGCAACGACGGAAGCTCAGCTGAGCAACGTTACGGTAAATGTTTACAAGATGATTGAACACAAAATATGCAATCTCACCCTGCAGTCTGACCGGGGCAAGGGTGCTGTTTGAATTGATATATGAAAATCAGCAACTTTTCACAATGGGAACTAAAAGGAGCACCTGTGACCGCCGCGGTTTTATTATTTTAGGATTGCTTTCAAGTTCAAGCTGTGGCGCTAGTGCAGCAATATGGCTCACGCACAATAGAAATGCATGGCTTTGCAGCCGTATGAGCTTTTTAAGTGCTTTTTTTCTGTTGTCGAGGTACATGATCAACTCGTGTACTACATTGTCAGTGAGGAGTTATCTGTACGCTGAAAAGTAGAGGGGTCTCCTCACTATGACCTATTCATGTTACAAAGGATTTTTTCAGAGCCATGCGAGGAGGGAGACTGGATATTTGACAAATTGATCTCCAAACCTAAAATAAGTGCGCTTCAACATAGGTGCCTCAGGTTCAACCTACTGGCAAAATAAAAAGATATTCATTGATGACTGTGAACAGAGCCACGATAAAGGTTGGAACAAAATGATTCTTTTCAATCCTAAAAGAGCACAAATTGACAAACAGACAAACCACTCGGCGAAAGTGCCTGACAAAGCAAACACTTGATATATTTATCTGGTGACATCAAAACCTGACCTTGTGTCCTACTCTCCCTTCCTCCGTTGTCTATATGCTTCTCCTGTCTCCAATTGGACTTGAGGAGCATTTTAGATTGCCAGCATCCCTCCCAAGATCAACCTTAAAGTACAATTTAGGATTTGTGTCGTTTGAGGTAACGTCCACGCTCTTGCGAGCAACCCTTTGGAACTCGTGTGTGTGTGTGTGTGCGTGTGTGTGTATGTGTGTGTGCGTGTGCGTGTGTGTGTGTGTGTGTGTGCGTGTGTGTGTGTGTGTTCAGGTGGACCCTCACCCTCCTTTTTTACTATGTTTGGTGTGCGAGGACAAAGCGAAGTACTGTCTTAGTAGCCAGAATAGCTTTAACCCCTCGCTGAACTTATGTTACGCAATTAGCAAAAAATATATATAAATATATGAGTGGGGCTTGTGTTTAATATGTGTGTGTGTGTGTGTGTGTGTGTGTTCAGGTGGACCCTCATCCTCCTTTTTTACTATGTTTGGTGTGCGAGGACAAAGCGAAGTACTGTCTTAGTAGCCAGAATAGCTTTAACCCCTCGCTGAACTTATGTTACGCAATTAGCAAAAAATATATATAAATATATGAGTGGGGCTTGTGTTTAATACTCAATGTACTGCTTGTGGATCATAGAAACTTTAGCTTTATGATTCTCAAAGCAGGGTTGATGCGAGGGATTCCTGCAAGATTGAGCAAAAATGTTTTTTCTACCGATATAAATGAAACTCTATATTCTTAACATGATCTCGTTCAGGTGAGCGATCTTGCAGGATCCTGCTGCAGTATTTATTCCTCTCACAATGTCAGCGTCGCGTCAACCCTGCTCGAGTGAGCACCAGTATAGCAACCGCTCACAGCATGGAGATGGATGTGGCGGTGGGCTGTAAGTTAAGAAACCTCCTTGGAGGTCCGTCACTCTTCTGTTGACTCTTCACGCATCTCACATATATGACAGTGATGGAGAGAAGTAGAGGACGGCGGGCTAATTGTTGACTAGACCGTGAGGACATTTCCCGAGGGAGAAGCCCATTTCGACTCGAATTAGCTGAGCCAGCCGTTCTTCGTGAAAAAAAAGCTCAGTCAAAGCCTACGAGGATCCGTACCTGCCTAAATCTGCGTCCATTTTATGTGGTGTCATCAATACATGTCATCCGATTGGCTCCTCCTACCTCCTACCGCTCCATTTTTCCGTCGCTATCATATAAAACGTCCTGCATGTCAAATGCATTACTCGTGAATTTGTGTACAAGAAAGCATCATCTCCTCTGTAAGTGCAACTGTAAAAAACAAGTTGGGTGAACTTAAAATTTCAAGGCAACAAACTTTGAAGGGCAATTCAACAAAATATTTGAAGTTTGGCAAATGTGGAAATTGGCTTTCCTGCTTTACCCCCCCAAAATAAATAAATAAATAAAGGTGAACTAATTGTCCCCAACTTAAAGATAGAAGTTAAAAACAGCTAAGCAAATTGTTTTGGAGTAAACAACTTGCTTGCTTTGTTGTGCTAGCTAACATTGTTGTCCTCAATCTCAATATTTTATATTGTTCCAACTTAATTGACAAATTTTAGGCCAAACAAATACAAGTTGTGCTTTTTTTACAGCGTGGCTTCAAGCCTTGTGAATTGATTGGCTCATCCCGTCCACCAGTGACAAAACGCAGGAGATGCTTTTTGTATTTTTTTTTTCCCAAGTTATCTTTTTGATTTATTTTTGTTTTAGTTTGTTTTTAATCTGTGCACTTTCATCATATAGAACTTTAACAGATTCTGATTAATCTTTAGGAACGTGTGGTAGTACTATGGTTTGTGAGATATTCAGTACAGGATAATATAAGTTCAAGTTATTACTTTATGCGTGTCCCACAAAATATGTACTCGACTAAAGTTTACTCCACAAACCACAGAGCTACGACTTTTGCCTAATCCTAAAGGAGTTACACATCAGTTACTCATTCTTTAAAGTTGATATGTTTCATTCATATGTTGTGCTGTTTTTTTTTTTATCTATATGTTCGTTCTACTGCCATATTCGCTACAAAAATCCAGGGTGATCTAATTCTGGGGTTTTTCGTGTATTTATTATTCCTAGGAATAGTTCAAAATAACTCGATGAAACTTGACAATGCTCTCATTTGAAACGGGTAAGCTGTGTCTTGGCAAAATTTGAGCGAGACGACTTTCCCAAGCTTCTTACCGAGAGCGCTCCACTGAAATGGGATCACTGACCTTCAGAATTCTCTGCAAAAGCGACCATGAAATTCCAAATTGGAATTGTTTCATTCTCTCTTGGTTTATCGTGCCAAATCTTGGTACACCATTTAAGGTCTGACAAAACAAGCACCAACTGCAAAAGGTGTCAGTTGGGCTGGGAAATCTTTTTGCTTTGTTTCCGTCTTTGTTTCTGACCAGTAGTGCCTTTCATTGTTTCAAGGGAGAATTTTAGACTCTCATTTTTTTTCTTTTTTTTTGTCTCTCTGGGTGAGGGCTTGGGAGTTCAAATGACTATGAGCAGCAATAAGCGCAAAAGGGATTTGTGCCCCTTTCCGCATGACTAAGAAGATACTTTTAGAATTAGCTGAATAAATCGAAGATTGTATTGAATTCTACAGGTCAGTGATCCTCTCAATAAATTCAGGGGTATTAACAAAATGTTTTCTTTTGAAATCAAACTTTTAAGAACCAAAAGTCCCTTTGGCCTCCTGTTGTTGAACAAACGGCTCCAAGCATCTTTAATGTGTTTGTGTAGCTGAGTGTATTATTTGGAAACTACAAGCGTTGTTTGGTGAAGGTCATGGCGTATCGATAGTATTATTGGAAGAAAATGTGCAGAGAGCGCATTTGATCTTACTTTTGTGTCTTGTTTTTTCCACTTTTGAATCTTTTTTTTTCCCTGCATTGTTAAGCGATTTGCTTTCAGGAAACAGAAAACTAAATTAGCATCAACAAGCGTGAATAGTGCCATGATAGCCAGTGCTCGTTTGTTGAGGCGTCAAAGTTAACAATATGGAAGTGAAGCTAACAAGAAAAAAAGTGCAATTCTGATACTGTTGAAGTTTAAAAACAAAACAGTTTTCTGTTTGCTGTAAGCGACAGCATTGTGGTAATTAAGCTACCGGTAGCTGTGCAAACTTAATATTGTCATATTGTGTTTTCAGTATTGATCCATAAGAGTTTGATATCTTTCTATGAAATAATGACTTCATTTGTGTGTTCATATTTATTTGACTTGTCATGCAGTACTGTATTCTTATCAATAATGTGCATTATGATTAGTGGTCTTGATTACAACTAAATGTCATATGCATGTTTGTCAGCTATGGGACCTTTACACAGCAATGAAAACAAAACAGGTGAACTTTTTAGGGTCTTGGACAATTAGGAAAAATAAATTGAGATGAATGAGATGATGAATCTGATGTATTACTGCTGAATTAACCCAGTTAAAGTGTTTGGTTTGTTTTCTGGCTGGGATGTCGTCCAAACTGTGTAAAGGTAGTCATGCTGCCGAAAATCAATAAATGTGACTTAAGTCGCAGAGCGTGTCACTGTTGTCTTTTTGTGCGGTATGAAGTCGCTCCTGCACGGCAGCAGCCGATGCAGGGTTAACAAGCGAAGTGTGTGCTCAAACGTACAGAGACGCTTGAGCACTCCCAGATGGACGCCATGCACAGGAGAGCTTCCCAGCTGTGAAAGGCTTCAGGATCACATTTCATACAACGCGCAACAACACTCCCAAAGCCTCTTCCCAGCCTTCAGACTCAACTGCCATCCCCCTCCCCGTTTTCCCTCTTTCCTAGCATCCCTCTGGGGACACGCCCACATATCTCATCGCAGCGAATTTCCTCTGACCTTTGGTGCCCCCAGTACTTCCTGTCCCGGCTCTGGAGACCAGTTCTCATTTTTCAAAGCAGTTGTTGGGCTCTTAATACAGAGTGCATTAAGTGCAAAGCAAAAAAAAAAAAACAAGCCCTCTTTTAAAAAGACTATCGCTGGCAGAATGCCACATTTGGATTTACATATGTAGGGCATGACCAAAAATAATACAAAAATATTAATGCGGAATCAAATAGAAACCCATTCAAAGATGTATTTTAGATCGTAAGAACACGATGTCCCCTTTGTTTGCTTGCTTTACGTTTTAGCCTTGTGTCCCCTGTTGGGATCTTTACTGACCATAAAAAATAAAGCAATGAGTCACAGCAATGCATCACTTGTAGGATGTAAGTGCATACAAGACATGCCATCACTTTTTTAACAGGGGAGAATCTTTTGGTAACCCTGCGTGGTTCTCTCACTCGGCGGGACTGGCAGACAAAATGTGGGTCAGTGGGACTGCTCCCATGGCTCCGTGCAGTAATGTTCAGGGCGGAGTCAACACAGCGGAACGAACAGCTGTTTCACATCGGAGACGTGATACGCATTATTCAAAATCACCACTCGATGTCGCTATAATACCGTTTTCGTTGAGCTTCAGCTCAGCGCTGAATGTCAAGGTTCGATTTGGTCTGTGAGTTTGTGCCTACAAAGAGGCCCCTTTATCAGCGTCAGCCATGTGATCAATTCATGTGGAGCCTAAGGAGCAATGAGCCACGATCAGCTGGTCTGAAGGAGGACGCACTCTCACGTGGCTCTCCTTAGTATACCCACACACATGCACATTTTCAGAAGAGAGCCACCGGAGCAGGAATAAGACCATTGATGGTGAAAACAAATGCGTGGCCAGTGGGGCTGTGAGCTCGGCCTCATGATGTGATTCAACACCAACTCACTTGAGTTTTATCTCCACTGCACATACTTGACTGCAGAGTCACTTTGAATGTGATGACTAGATAGATGCCGCAAAAGTTACAAAATTATAGATGTATTGCAGTATACAGTACAGTATATATAAACCTACATGGGTGGTAAATATCAAATTAGTTTGAGGTCTGAAACCTGACCCTATGACAATACCGTAGCAGCTACTGAGCTACAGTATTTACCAGTTGTATCTGGGCTTCATTGCAGATCACGACCGCCCTCCCGCTCCCCCCAGACGCCCACAGTAGTGTTGATTCAAACAGTAGGACGCTTCTTCACACCTCAAAAAGAGAAACAATGCTGGCAAGCGTCTCAAGTCTGAGTGTTGATAGCAACATGGAGGATTTGAAATGTGAAAAAACAAAACAGGTAGCTCATGTCATACATATGAGTGGTGAGTTTCGCATAGGCTTAATTGCCTTAATTCTAGTCAGCTCTCACCTCTCCCTTTGTATGATTGCTCTTATTTCCTTGTTGCTCTTTGTTTCTCCAGTTAGTGATGGTGTTGTGGTACACTCGTTTCAATCGTATGCCGGCAGCGTGCGACCGGCTCCCAGTCAGTGATTGTGTGGATGTGGGTGTGAATGGTTGTTCGTGTCTCTAAGTGCCCTGCGACTGACTGGCGACCAGGTCCGGGTTTTGTCCGGTTTCCACCTCAAGTCAGCTGGGATAGGCTCCAGCAACTATAAAGCGATGTTGAAAATGGCTGCTTTTGTTCTTTTGCTGGTGATGAAACTAGGAAAAAGACAATAGCAGCATGCAAGGTTTGCAACTCAAAAATAGGAGACACAAAACCTACTATGTTTACCTTTTAGCTAGCTGCGCGAACTGTGAAGGCAAGATAGCTAAGTTATCTTAAACCTTGTAGTGAACCATACGAGACTATGTTTGCATTTGTTTCTGTCGCTTTGTTATGACTGTGGCTGTGATGTCTTGAAAGATGACAGGGCAAAAGGAACATTGCAGATGAAAGGTCAAGACGGACACTCACGCTTGAAGGTTGTCTTATTGAAAATGAGGCAGACAGTACTGTGGAGTGACTTGTGAGTTGCGGCCATTAGCTGCTCATTTTCTGTTACACGCTCATCTTGATCGTTTTCCACAGTAATTTGGCACTTGTTTGAGACTTGAAGGTTATGATTTGAGACTTGCACATACCGTATAGGACAAACTTTTAAGACATATTCGCACAGACCTTAGTCTTTCAGACTTTGCAGAGATATAAGTGGAGTTCATTTACAACTGTCCTCTTTCGTTTGGCAAAAATGGGGGTCATGGTTTGCCAATTAGAGTATATGTGTCAATGAATGGCTGCAATTGGGCCTTAATGCTCTAGTCTACACATTTTCAGGAGATGCCGTCAAAGGAGTTCTGCTATAGGATGTAATCTAAAAGACTCTTGCTTGGCCTTTGAAAATAAAATCTAAAAGATTGACTTATACTTGGAGTCTAACTTTTGGTCACCACTAATTTGTACTCTCAAATCCGTGGGTCTCTTGTAAGATATGACACTTTCGTCCCGGAATGGAGACATTATAAATCATTTCAGCAACAATAGTGGATACGGTACATTTAAAAAACAAAAATAAAATAGCAGGCCATAGAAGTAATTTGTACAAAAAGCACACCGCACACAATAGGCAACAGTTCAGTCTATCCAATCCAATCTTTCAGCGATCCCATGTCCCAGTTGTACTCTTGACAGCTGCAGGCATCTGCAATTTTTGCCATATTCAATAGTCAGTTCTAACAATTATAAGAATATCGCAGAAACATAAGTCACATACAGTAAAAGAATGCCTGTAACAAAATCTGATTGCTCGTGAGCTCGACCCCCTTATAGTTTCGCCAAAATGGGCTTTCTTCTGGTACTGATTTCCTTTCATGTTGAAAACACGCATGATAAATTGATTAAGCGCTGATGGTTGTTTGTCACCAGTATATGTGACAAACAATTTATTTACTGGTGCATTCCTTACTTTGTATGCTCCAAACAAAGCTTGAACTTGCTATAGTGTCATGTCATCCTGTTAGTTTCAGAGGATGGCCACAATTTGGCTTCTGGGCTCATACATTATCGACATGATCAAATTACCACTGAAGTCTGTGAACTGAATAGTTCTCCCAACTACTTTCCATTTATTCTATGATGTGCATGGCCTACTGTCACTTGTTTATGACTCATAAAGGCAATGACTCGCTCAGCTGATTGCAAAGCAGCACAAAGCACGCAAGGAGCTTGTTAAAGTTCACGTTCACGGGTTTCCTCACAAATGGCTGCCCCTCAAGCTATCGAGGCAGATCTGTAATAGACATCAAGAGTCATCCTCAGTCAGCGTTTCTGAAATATACTGCTCTTGATATAGGCCTACACAAGAACACTATTAAATCTAGTATTGCTAGTCTTTCATGGCTTATACTATTTTTTAAGTTTATTTATTTATTTATTTTTGCGTGTGCACAATGACAAATGGCCCACATTTGTGGGAGTATTTTTATTTTTATTTCTTCTTTTATTTTATTTTATTTTATTTTTTTTACTTTAATATGCCATAGGAGTAAGTAGTAGTTTTTTTCTGCATGGAAAGTAGGTTTTCTCACCAATCTGATGGCATGTAATCATTTATGCTGAGCGCTGTACATAGCAGCATTGCAGGTAAGATACAAACTTTTTTTTTCTTGGTATGTGAATATCAGTGCATTTGATGCTCTGTTTGAATACGTCTTCAGATTACCTATTAGTATGTAATCGTAGTAGAATCTTTTTAGAAAGCGAATTCCAATGAAGTTGGGATGTTGTGTAACAAAAACAGAATGCAGTACAGTGATTTGCAAATCATGTTCAACCTATATCTAACTGAATACACTACAGAGACAAGATATTTAATGTTCAAACTGAGAAGCTTTATTGTTTTTAGCAAGTAATCAATAATTTAAAATGAAATGGCTGCAACACATTCCGAAAAAGCTGGGACAGGTGGCAAAAAGTCGTGGAATGCTCATCAAACACCTGTTTGGAACATCCCACGGGTGAATAGGCTAAATGGGAACAGGTGGGTGCCATGATTGGGTATAAAAGGAGCTTCCCTAAATTACTCAGTCATCCACAGGCAAAGACGCACCGAGGTTCACCTCTTTGTGTGCGAAAATGGTCAGAGATTAAGAACAATGTTACTCAATGTATAGTTGCAAGGAATTTAGAGATTTCATCATCTATGGTCTATAATATCATCAAAAGGTTCTGATATTCTGAAGAAATCACAGCATTTAAAGGCACCCCCCCCCAAAAAAAATAAAGAAATCTATGTGTAAAGAATATCATTACATGGGCCTGGGAACACTTCAGAAAACCAAATTCAGTCAATACAGTTGGGTGTTACATCCGTAAGTGCAACTGAAATCTCATCTACATATAGCAAAAGCCATTCATCAACAACACCTGGAAATGTCGCAGGCTTCTCCGAGCCCGAGCTCATCTAAGATGGACTCAGGCAAAGTGGAAGAATGTTCTGAGGTCTGACGAGTCCACATTTCCTTTTTTTTGAAATTGTGGATGTCGTGTCCTCCACGCCGAAGAGGAAAAAGACCATCTGGCTTGGTATCAGCGGAAACTTCAAAAGTCATTATTTGTGATGGTATGCGGCCATGTTAGTGCCAATGGCATGGCTAGCTTACACATCTGTGAAGGTACCATGAATGCTAAAAGGAACATACAGGTTTTGGAGAAACATGTGCTGCCATCCAAGCAATGTCTTTTCATGGACACCCTTGCTTACTTCAACAAAACAATGCCAAACCACATTCTGCATGTGTTACAAGAGCCTGGCTTCATAGTAAAAAAAGTGCGGGCACTAGACTGGCCTGCGTGAAGCCCAGACCTGCCTCTCATTGAAAATGTATGGCGCATTATAAAGTGTCAAATATGACAACGGAGACCGCGGACGATTGAACACCTGAAGCTGTACAGCAAGCAAGAATGGTAAAGGATTACAAAGCTTCAACAATTAGTGTCCTCAGTTCCCAAACGTTTATTGAATGTTGTTAAAAGAAAAGGTGATGTAACAGAGTGGAAAAAATGAACCCGTGTCAGCTTTTATGGAGCGTGTTGCAGCCATAAAATATAAAGTTAATGATTATTTGCTAAACACAATAATGTTTATCAGTTTGAACATAAAATATCTCATCTTTGTGTTGTATTTCCCGTAACCCTCGTGAGGATAAAGCGGTTCAGATCAGACGGATGTAGTGTACTCAAGTATAAGTTGAACATGATTTGCGATTAAATGTATTCTCTTTTTTATTTATGTTTAAAACAATTCCCCAACTTCATTGGAATTCTTCTTTAGAGCCATTGCTTAGATTATTATATTGTTGGACAAAAGTAAATCACTATAATGTTTATAAAGTATTAAATTATATGATGGCGTGCTTATGTAAAAGTCCATTCATGTACTTTTCTGTCAGTATATAATCTACATAGGCCTCCTGATTGTAATACTGTTAGTTTAACTGCATAGCAGAATTGTATATGTCTGTCCCTTATCAGGGTGTCTAACGTAAAATAGTCGCATCATTTAATCATGCAATCAGTTCACAAATGTCACACTTGACTATGCTAGACTTCACTTAAAAAAAACAAAATGATATTTTCAGTGAGCGTGTCGGCGAAAACAATACAATGAATGGGGTTTGGCGTGAGCGCGCTTGGCCCCAGTAGCGCGCATTTTCTTGTTTCCAGCAGTGGGGAGGACAGGACAGAGTTCTTTATGTGGAGAGGGAGGAGGAAGGAGCCACGCAAGACCAGCAAACAGAAAAGAACAAAAAAACACTCGATCAAAATTTGTTTTATGCTCTACCAAGCCATGAAGAGTCCATAGCGCGTGAGGGGTTTCTTTTTCCTTTTTTAAATGAATATTTTATTTTTGAAGCGGTAACAGGATTACGAGGAGGTCGGTTCAGAGACGCTCGCTCGTTCAAGTTGGACGCTCCTGGAGCCCACTTTCTCCTTGGAAAGGATACGACCGGCGAGCAACTTTGTGCAAGATGCAGGGACTTTCAGCCACTGGTAAGAAACCGAGTCTGGGTTAAAAGTCGCGTTTCCAAAGTTTTCGTTCCGGGTCGTCTCGCGGCTCCTATTACACGTCCCGAAACGGTTTTTTGAGGCGGGGGGGCGGGGGGGTGTTTGTGTTGTTGTTGCCAGCTGTCAGCGGGACAGCTGCGGGCTTTTTATCGACTCCACGTCGGCCTCAAGTCGTGTTTCTCACCCCACCGACACGCTGTTGATGCCGGAGACCTGATGTGACTCAATGTAGCAGCACATCTGGGCCGAACTCTTTAGGTCCGAGTTCTGACATCAACGTTAAAACTGCCTATAGATTCCATTAACATTCAAAATCGGAATTGCTGATAGCGGTGATTAAACCCAGAGTCATTCATGCATCATACCTTACCGTGCATGGGTGTGTGTGATGGGCTCGGATGCATGGAGAGTGTGTGTGTGTGTGTGTGTGTGTGTGTGTGTGTGTGTGTGTGTGTGTCACAAAGCAGAGGTCACTACTTTCGCTCCAAATGCAGTATAGTGTAGTTCAGAAGTCAATTTTACGTCAAGTATATATATGTCTGCATCTGTTGAATGTAACTTAATAAGTCATTTTTAATCTTAGTTACATTCAAAATCACGTAATCATTAACTTTACTACAATTCTTTTCATGTCAAGGGTCAGTAAAATAACTTGTCATGTGAATGACTGATTTTGATATGAATGTTCGTTGTCGTCGTAACTCGATGTTTGCACGTTTGCCACACAGTTCTAAGGTTTGGGTTTTGAATCTCAACTCAGGCCACTCTGTGTGGAGTTTGAATGATATGACATACATGGAAAAGTACAATATTGTACTCCTTTGCTCCTAAGTGGAAATACTGTTACAACTTGGACCACCAAACTGCTCGCATTCTTTTTCCTTCTACTTGTTGCCAGGCCGACTTCATTGAGGCGCAATCATAAATTTCCCATATGCCCGCCACATTCACCTGGATTTGATTCACCATGTGACAGAGAGCTACCTTGAACTGCAAGGGAGACACACAAATTAAGGAAATTACTGTAACCGTTTATATACATAGATTCATTTGAATTGAATCACTGCTCTGTATTCTATATAAAATATGTGCCTTCCCAGGGGAAACATCAAAACAGCACCATCTGGTGTGCATAATAAATACTGGAAGATCAGCTGTTCAACTTTTTTCTCCCACATTTGCTCAATCAAGTGCTTTTGCTCTTAATTTGTAGTAACTGGCCTCTTATCCCAAATCAAACTACCCAACTCCATACACGCGCACACATTCACATGCATACATGCTTTTTTTGCCGCTCTTCTTTCCAGTTGCTTACTGTATTCCTACCCCATGGGAACCAAAGCGTAGTGTATGTGCACTCTTTGGCTTATTTTCATTTTGGCCATTGGAAGGTCGAGTGAGTTGAAAACACATCGTTTGCATATCCGTTTCAACATATCACAAATATTCGGTGTTGTCTTGACGTTAAAGTCACATTGGTATCACAGGCTCAGGACTGTATTGCCCACTTTCTCCCCTGGTTTATACACATTACAATGGTGGTTCTCACAAAGCAGCAAGACGCTCCAGCATAGACGTCCTGGCTCGCCGTCTTAAGTTATTTATTATTAACAAAAGCTATGCGAGGCTGTCTGTGTTTCACCAAGTCAATGTAAACATCTCCCCTCTTTGTGAGATAAACACTGACCAAGAGGAAAATGAACAGGACAGTAAGAATATTATTTACACTGATTCCCTTGTTCCATCTTCTTTTTTTTAAGACTTTGACTTTCCTTTTAGTACTGGCCATCTAAGGTGACTTTTTTGTGCTTGTTTGCCAGCTCACTGTGCTATGCAAGGATCCCACCACAGATTTTGGGTCGTGTGAAAAATTATTACTTTGGGCCCCACCACTTCATTGCTGTAAATTGAAAACACGATACAAAAAATATATTATAATTATTTTTAATTATTTAAAGACATCATCACTTTTATCCCCTCTACAGTGCTCCCAGTCCTACGTGTAGTGAATATACAGCTGTGGTGGGGGAAATTTGCCATTTTCCAAGGTAGAAACGGGCAGAACTCCACCATTGTGTGGGGGAGTGTTAGCTTTAATACCAAAGAGTCACTGCAAATGGCTCTTATGTCAAAAGCAGTTGCCGCTGCTGCGCTGACATAGCTGCACATCTAATTAACTCAATACGCAGAGCCGCACTGGGTGTACTGTGGAAAAGGCACAGGCGAATAAATCCCAGCTCTACGGTTGCACACTGTACTGATTGCACAATTCACCGGGAAGTTGGCGTAAAAGTGGCTATGAGGGCAAGCACATAATAAAATGCTGAAAGCTAATCTTGTAAAACAACGAGATTTGTCAGAATCCACTTTCACGAAAGAATCTTTTTTAGAAATGATTATTCAATTGATTATTCCATCCATTACTCCGGTAGGTCATCGCCCCCACACTCAGGCACCCACACATCGCCCAGGTGACTTAAATTCTTTGGAAAATGTCTGACAGTGATAAGCATGCATCGATTAATAATAAAACATACATTTGCCAAAGTTGATACATATTTTACATGATCATTTAAGAGCAAAGAAGATTTTCATATTGATTTTCATCTTAGCCAGGGTGTAAAATGGCTCCGGTGACCGTTTAGGCTGCTCTTATGACTCGCTGGCAGTGGACGTGAGGACTTATTAAAAAGAAAGATATGATTGTCATGCTGCAAGGTATGCTATCCATCCATTGATCCATTTTCTAATCCGCTTATCGTGAGAAGGGTCGGGGGTGTTCTGGAGCCTATCCCAGCAGTCTTCGGGCAGTCGGTAGGGCACGCCCTTAACTAGTTGCCAGCCAATCGCAGGGCACACATAGACAAACAATTATCCACGCTCACAATCACACCTCGGGACAATTTAGAGTGTTCCATTAACCTGCCATGCATGTTTTGGGAATGTGGTCTGCTATGGTAAACTAATTTAAATGGATAAGCTTTAATATATTTCACCGGTCATGACAATTTAGTGGAAGATGCTTTGCTCCCGTAAAGTAGTGATGAGACATACACTGAAGATGCTTAAGCTTGTTCAGTGCCAGTGCAAACAACAGCAGGATTTCCTTGATTAAGAACGTTTTTTTTTTTTTTTTTTTTTTTTTAATGATTGTAGTCCCTGAATGGAATTTCAATGAACATTTTGATATGTACAAATTTTGTGTTGGACACCAAACACACTGTAGAACTAAATCACACACAAGCAGGCACGTCAGGAAAGACGTCATTGTGACAGGGCAGTGCTGCGCCCTTTGATCTGGGACATGGGGGTCAGTGCTTTGCTCAAGGGCACCTTGACAGTAGCCAGCAAGCAGATGAGGATCTCTCCAATAGCTAGTCGCCATTTTCACATTTTGGCTGCAGCGGGACTTGAATTGCGACGCTTTGGTTCTTAAAATCGTCATGACTGTGCTTCCACCTGTTGATCTGATGGGCCCGTGTTGGATGTAACGGACAAACTGCTTTGCCCTTGAAGGTTGATCTCAATTATGGAGGTACAGTCATGTGATATCTCGGGAACATTGAAGCTAAACTGCTGCACTGCACTTTGGTTTCAAACGCTTTCTCGAACTCCTGGCAGGTTCATGGAGCCTGAAATGAGGGTGGAAATAATGACGAACTGAACTGCTTTCCTTTCTGTTCCTTGCTTATTTCTTTTCCCCCAAGCTCAACATACATTGTCTCCTATATCGCCAGCATTTGCCAGTTTGTAATGAAACTTGCAGTCATTTTCAGCTGCGGGCTCTCCGTGAATCAGAAAAACAGCAGACACACCCAATATAATCGACCGTGCCCTTCAAAAATGTTGGAATGGCAAAGTCAATTCCTCTGTTTCTGTTGTATACTGAAGCCATTTTGGATTTCAGATCAAAATATCAATCTGAGACAAAAGTTCCCAAGTCCAACTTGTGTTGATTTCATTGTATTTACATTGAAATGTGTTTACCCACTGTGGACAGATCACATTTTGTTTGAAGCCACCCACTTTTCAAGTGAGCAAAAGTATTGGAACAGACATCATTAAATGAAGCAAAGTGAATACCATTTCATATTTGGTGGCAAAGCCTGACTTACAATAACTGCCTGCAGCAGACTGTTTTCAGGCCTTTGCTGCAGCTTCTTTCAGCTCTGGTTTGTTTCTGGGGCTTTCTCCAATCCTTCTCCACATCACGAGGTGAAACGCATGCTCTATTGGGTTTCGGTCCAGCGATTGACTTGGCCAGTCTAAAGTCTTCCACTTCAATGGTTTGGTAGACTTCAGAATTCATTCTGCTGCTGTACAATCATGACTTACATCATCAATAAAGACGCGTGAACTTATTTCACAAGCAGTCATGCAAGCCCGAGCCGTGAAATCAAACAACACGAGCTTGTGTGTTTTGCATCATAAGAAGATATTTTTCTTTCCATCACTTCGGTCGAGGTTCATCTTGGTCTCATCAGGCCATAAAACTTTGTTCCAGAACTTTTGTGTTTCATCTCTGTAATCTCATCTTGTGTTCAGTACTGCGAAATCCAATTTGACCTTTAAAGCATCGCTTCACTTTTGACAACTTGATGCCATTCATACATCTATGATTGATCAGATCTTCTGAGCATAATTTGCACATCTAGAATTGATCAATTCTTTGTCAAGTGTTTGATTGGTGAGATGACCTCACCAGGTAGAGAAACTATTCTCTAGCCGTGTGGCCATCCACCTACAAAATTGACTCGCAACCAGGCGGCATAAAGAGATCATTGACAAGCATGCCTTTCCACTTGCGCTTGGAATATAAAGTGGTGTGGAACTCCACTGCATGATACCGAGGGGTGTTTCTTATTGCCATGCTCTGTCCCACATATAATAGGATGATTATTACAGAAACAAAATAAAACATGTTGCACAAGTTCTTAGAGATGTTAGATTAGACTGGAGGGTGCTATTGACCCAAGTATTAGAAG